CACCTCATATATATTTATGGGTTGTGTTCAATATAAATGATAGAGCGCATGTAAATATAAAAGTGGACATCCAGCGGCGACAGTGATTGTGTTTAAACATGAAACAGACTGCCACCGCTGGGTGTTGACTTCAGTGTTGACATATTGATATATATATATATATATATATATATATATATATATATATATATATTTTTATTTCTTTCTTTTTTTTTTTTTTTTTTTTTTTTATTTATTTTTATTTTTTTTATTATTTTTTAAAAAATTTTTTTTTTTTTTTTTTTTTTTTTTTAATTTTTTTTTTATTTTTTTTTTATTTAATATTGTTTTAATATGTCTTGTAATATTAAATTTTATACTTTTATTTCGATCATTAAATGTTGTACCTACAAAAATATCTTTAAATATATATATATGTGGCGAAGAATGACTTGAAAAAAAGTGCATGCAGTCCATGATGCAGTCCAATCACAATCAATGTTTGGCGTAGTGTAGGGCAGTGGACCGATCCCCTTACTCCATCTGTGAATATGATATGAACAAATTTTAATGTGAGAAAATGCAATTCGGGCTTGGACTTGATGGGCCCGTTATAATGACTATTATAGGTAAAGAGATAAATATGAGAAAATAATAAAACCTACAGGCAATGATATATTTCAAATATATTTGTAAATCAGTTCAATTCATTGTGTCTTTTTGGCAAATTCACCACGTCATACATGTATCTTTTCAAAAGGTCTTTATTCATGGAAATGAAGATCAATCTACTCAATCTCTCTTCACTTTGAGAATATGTGGATGTTAACAAGCTTTATATGTTTTTTGTGTATATGTTTTAGCTGAAGTGTACGTTGTCAATATATAAACAAAAAGAACATAGAAGAAGCATACAAAAATTTGAGTTTCTGCTACGGACGTTCGTTCCCTTTATGTGGACTGTATTGAAACAAAATGCCCGTTTCATTTCTTGGTTCAGAAATAATTTATGGGAAGTAAGGATAATAACAGGTAAAGATGGCCTAATTTCTAACTTCATATAGTAGGGCTGCTGAAATACGTCGGAACAATGTCATTGGAAAGACATTGTTCGGACGTATTTCAGCAGCCCTTCTCATAATTATTAATAAAGTGTTGATTCCCACAAACATAATGGTGACTTATTTCTACCCAAACAAAACCAATAAATAAAATAACAATAAAGAATAAAATAAATAAATTTATTTTCTAATGATGCAATTTATAAAGAAAAAGCGGTCAGGGTTTCTGGTCACATGTGCGATTTTATGACTATGCTTTCGGAAAAGACAGAATCTTTCTCTTTCCATCTTTTCTTATGTTTGTGGGAATCAACACTTTATTAAATATTGCATCATTAGAAAATAAATTTATTTATTTTATTCTTTATTATTATTTTATTTATTGGTTTTGTTTGGGTAGAAATAAGAACACCATTATGTTTGTGGGAATCAACACTTTATTAAATATTGCATCATTAGAAAATAAATTTATTTATTTTATTCTTTATTATTATTTTATTTATTGGTTTTGTTTGGGTAGAAATAAGTCACCATTATGTTGTGAGAATCAACATTTTAGATATTAAATATTTATGGGCTCCTGGAACATTTATCCTGAAAACAATTAACGGACTCAATGTGAATCCGGGTAAAAATTATTTTTTAAATGACATTTTACACATTTGTTTGCAATATGGGTACGGAAGGTTTTGACAAAGTTAAATCTTTCACTGATCACCGGAATGGAATGCCAACAGTCCAATTCTGAACTTAAACTTAGTCAAAAAAACGGTAACTATTTTGAAAAAAAAATTGTGTCATTATTTATCATGTCAACCCCTAACTTTCAAATTGAGTGCAATATCACGGTCCCAAAATCGACCGGCCCTACTATATAATATATATGATAGAGAATGAAATAAAGAACAAAGTAGGAAACGAATCTCAATTTCACCTTTATTAAGGTTTCGTCAGTGATCGAGAATAGAAATGAAAAAGCAGAGAGAGAGAGAGAGAGTAATAATGGACTGTTAGAATTTTTGGTAGTTCTCATTAGTCAGACCCCCGTCACGTGTATAAACGCAATAGATAATATATAAATATGTGTGAGGAACATTTAGGATGTTAAAGTGTGTTATAGTATAAAAGTGTGTAAGTAAAGAAACGCTGGTGTGTGTAGGTGTGTGTAGGAGAGTAACGTTAATTCATGTAAGTGGATAAAAGTGTGTATGCAAGGAAAGTCTACAGATGTCATCTTCATATTTTGTCGGTGAAATGTATCGATATATTGCAAAATAATTTTTGATTTGGTTGGATTTTTATATTCTCGTGTATGTGTGTGTGGGGAAAACCTGTGGTCGTCAACTGTGTATGTCTCTGTGTTGGTAAAAGGAAGTAAGATGATGTAATAATCTAGTTTTGGTTAGATTTTTAACATGCGTAATTTTGAAAAAGGGAACTTTGTAAAATTTATTTTAGACGTAAGTTAGATTCATATATATATATATATATATATATATATATATATATATATAGAAAGAGAGAGAGAGAGAGCTCATTGTAAGAACAGAGCAAAAAATAATGATGAAAGCCATGGTAATATTTTATATTAGAAACCCATGGTAATATTTTATTTCGCGAGACCAAATAATCAACTCGTCTCATCAGACCAAACAATTTCACATCAATAAACGGATTTTAAATTTATCTAGGCACAAGCGAAAAAGAACAACGTTTTTTCAAGAATAATATGGGAAGATATAAATTTTAAAGTTTTAATATGAAGGTAGGGAAAGAGAAAGATATGGAAATATATGTCTAGATAGATGGGAGAGGGAGAGTAAGATGGGAAAATATAGAGTTTAAAAATAGGGTTTTAATATGAGGGAAGGGAAACAGTGAAAGGAGAAAGAGATGGAGATATATAGTTCTAGAGAGAGAGAGAGAGAGAGAGAGGGAGGAGGGAGAGTAAGATAATAAAAGGAAGAGAAGTAGTATAGAAAATGCCGACAGGTTGATCTCTTTTCACTGGATGTGACAAGTAAAAAGAAAGAATATATTCAAAAGGGACATAGGAAGAGAGGAACGAAAAAGAAAAGGAGTAATTCGGACATGACAAGCAACATAGACTAAAGTTTACAAAAAGGAACAAATTCATAAGTTGTCTATTTAATTCATGTAATAAGTTTCGTTGTAATTTCAAAAAAAGCTTAGGTGATTATGAAATTAAAGTAGTAATAAAAAATGAGACGAGATCGATTATTTGGTCTGGCGAAATAAAATATTACCATGGATTTCTAAAGTATCCGCTTTCATCATTATATATATATATATATATATATATATAGATAATATTAGTGGAAAATATACATACATATGAAAATATATCTAAAAAAATTTCCATACATATATATTTTCAGAAAAAAATTTTCCAAGAGGAAGGATCCAGGTAGAACTCAATGTCTAGGACAGAGTAAGGATATAATAAAAAAAGGCTTAAACACTAATATTCCATGGTCATAATTTATTCCATTGGAATCGTAAATACGATCCAAATCATCAGACCTACAAATTCAAAATGAAAACAGAAAAAACAACTCCGAAATCAAAAAACGAATTTAGTGTTTAAGCCTTTTTTATTATATATATATATATATATATATATATATATATATATATATATATAGAGAGAGAGAGAGAGAGAGAGAGAGAGAGAGAGATAATATTAGTGGAAAATATACATACATATGAAAAATATATCTAAAAATTCCCATACATGTATATTTTCAGAAAAAAATTTTTCCAAGAGGAAGGATCCAGGTAGAACTCAATGTCTAAGACAGAGTAAGGATATAATAAAAAGGCTTAAACACTAATATTCCATGGTCATAATTTATTCCATTGGAATCGTAAATACGATCCAAATCATCAGACCTACAAATTCAAAATGAAAACAGAAAAAACAACTCCGGAAATCAAAAACGAATTTAGTGTTTAAGCCTTTTTATTATATATATATATATATATATATATATATGTGTGTGTGTTCTGTCTCCTGAGTACGCGTACGTACATTAAGACAGCCAGATAAACGCCTTAAATCAGTTAAAAGTCTAAAGACGCAGTCCTGTTAATCAGCAGGTTTGTTAAAAGCCAAAAAGGTAAAACTAGAAAAAGAAATAAATGCACATATAATAGACAGGGGAAGAAGAAATGTTACAAGGAAGACACAACTGAAAATAAATTAAACCAAGGGTTTTAATGGGTAAAGAATGTAGCAAGTTGTTTGCTACCTACAAGAATGCATTGTTGCAGTGTAAGAAAGGAAGAAAGTTACAGCTTGAGAAGAGTGAGTAAACAGTTAAGACGTGGTGAAAAGGATTCTATGTGAAGAGATACTATAGTAAAATAAATTTAAACAAATGTTCAAATAATGATATGATATTAAAGGAGACCAATGTAGAGAGAAAAGTTTTTAAAGGTTACATACCAGCGATGCTATCGTTGAGAGTAAAAGTTAGCAGGATACGAAAAATATGAATCGTGTGCTTGCGCCCGTGCTTTATTGTGCCGTTTTCGGTGATAACTAAGGGGTAGCAGGAAGTGGTCAAAAACGGTGACTAATCTAAAATGTACCGAAAGTAAAAAGGGGAAGTAAAACAATACAGGTTCCGTAATGTGGTAACAGAACACTTCTGATGTAATTATACGCGACAATTAATCTAGGCTTCGTGAGGAAGAAAATTGACAGTTCCTGAAACAGGCCTATGGAAAAATGTAATGGCGTCTTTTTCTTTGAAATTTTGACTGTACCCTGGTACTTTCTTTTCCTATCTTCACAAGGAACGACTTGCGACCAGTTCTCGGGGCTATTTGCTTCTTTCGGCTGCTTTGTCCTGAGAAACGCAATGTTCCAGAACCAGAGTAAGCAGTAAGAAGTGCAGCAAGCGTCAGTGTGAGGGTGTCGTCTGGATGTTGTACATGATACAGTGTTTACCTCCCCGTCGGAAAAGGAATCTGTTTTCTTTGTCCAAGGTGCTGGTCCAGAATGGGGTGCATTGTTGTGATCCTCACTATCACAATCTATGCATTCAACTTCATTTTTCGAATCTTTTTTTTCATATACGAGGAAGACGCACGACATCTAAAGCAAATCTCTCTCGGGGATGCCTGGCGCTCTTCCAGAGTATCCCCGCGAATGGTGCAACGTTTCTGTAGGGTGTGAAATCCCGCAGGCATCAGTATGTGCGTGTCATCTGGATGTCGCATCTGCGACTGGTACGGTATCTGCCTCCTTGTCGAGCTTGGAAACAGAATCTGCTTCCTTTGTCCGTGGTTGTGCAGTCTGTGGTGGGGTGAGCAGTATTATGCTTCTCACTATCATACTTTGTGCACCTAACTTTATCCTTACAGTTTTTTGCTATATATGAGCAAGATTTATTTTATAATTCATTGTGAATACTAGTTGCCACTTTTTACTTTTGCTATGTCACGTGAAAGCTCGTTATCACTTCCAAAAATGCTCGTGATATTCGTAGACGCGAATACTAGTAGTAAAACCTTCCTTTTGATATCCGCACTAGTAATACTTGTTCAAGTAGTAATTGCCAAATAGTAGAAGAGAAGACCAGAAGATTAGCGTAGAGAGAGCAAACATATATCAATAGTAGATAGACAAGAAGAGTGAACCGTGAATGTATAGTCGTCAACCTACTTCGTATTTATTCACTTTCTTTATGATCAGGTGATCTAATTAATAATGGAATCACCCGTGTTGCTCACTGGCGATCTAGTTTCAAACTACTGTGTCGGCAACGACACTTACTCTTATACAATAATTTACTACATCTAAAGCAGGTATCTCCTCATGAATGGTACAGCATTTCTGTAGAATGTGAGATTTTTTGGGTAAGAGACACTGACGATCAGAGTCCTCCTATAATATTTTTCCACTTCGAGTTGGCAAAGGTCTTTGGAGATACTTCGCTTTTGTATACCAAGATTATCCATTTGTTCTGCTGCCAAGAAGCCTTTCCCGTATGAGGTGTGAGGTTGAAGTTTAGATCGATCTTATTTCTAGTTTGTTGTTTGGCGAAGTCTTTGCGTACTGAGAAGAGAAGGAAATGAGCATAATGTTGCTTATCCTCGAAACACAGGAGCAACCGCTTCTCTGGACAGAAGATAAATTTTTGTACTTGAGGGTTCACATGGCGGAAGCTTCTCTCTCGGTCAAACGTATGTTTGCCTCCCAAACTGCTGTCCTCGAACCATAATGGATCCTTACTAGAATGGAGAGTTTCATACCCCAGAGAAGACTCCAGCAGAAACTGAAAAGCCAGCTCTGGTTTACACCCAAATATGCTGCAGCTATAGCTCATCCGAACCACTACGATAATATCTATCTCAGGGAGAAGTATAGTTGGACACTTGCTGCATTCAGAACTGCTGGAAAACACTGGAGAGTTCTAGAAAGATGCAAAGTGTAGATATGCTCAAACAGTCTAGGCCAAGGTTGATAGCAAACAAATTGGACCCCGAGAGATCTGGGAGATCTCTAACCCAATTCTGAGTAGAGGCAAAGCGTCAGTACCTACGATTATAAATGGCCCTGAGGACATCTCATCCTCGTCAGATAAGGCGAAGCTCTTTGCTTCGATTTTTGCCTCAAACTCAACGCCATATGAAAAATACCACCCACTTTCTGACTTCCCCTGTCTCACTGAGCACAATCTCAATAATAATTTCATTACAGCCCGGGAAGTCCTAAGAATGCCACCAGTCCAAACAAAATCCCAGTGGTTGTCCCTAAGAATATTAACCCAGAGTTATCGCCGACCTTAGCGAAGTTATTTAGCCTCTGCTTAAAAGATAAATCCTTCCCATGTCTGTGCAAGGTGTCAAGTATATGCCCGTTTTTAAAAGTACGTGTGATCTCTTGTCCACCTCACAGTATAGATCCATCAGTTTCCTCAGTGTCATTAGCAAAATCTTTGAATCTATAATCAACAAGAAGATTTTTGATCATCTCAATAAACGGTTGTTCCTAACTGTTTGAGCGACAAGCACTGGGGGTTTCGCACGACCCTCTTCACTGCTGATTACTCACAGAACCAGCTAGGTACTAGACAGCAAATACATCTTAAGGATGATCACATTAGATATTTCAAAGGCATTTGATAAGATGTGGATAAATGTATTACTATATCGTTTCACTTTCAATTTGAGAATAGTAACTTCCAAAATTGAATAGTCACTTTCAATTTGAGAATAATAACTTTCAAAATGGAATGATTTATTTTGAGTAAAAATATATGGAAAATTAACCAATCAAATTTTTATTTTTTATATATTTAAATTACAAAGTTAAAATTGTTTTTAAAAACTGAATTTAATTTGATAAAACACTTATTTACCTAAGGATCTGGGGAGTAAGATTGGGACATTTTTACGTCAGATAGCCTTTTTTTTTGTCTTCGTCACTTGAATTCTTGTTTTGATTGTATACGGTGACGTGGAAATACCACTATAGAGAACCGGCATCCACAGCAGCAAAAAGAAACGACCCGAGTATTATATCGGGCTGAAAGAGCAATTTGAGGAATTTGTCAAAGGAAATGAAATGCTACCACTGCTCTTAATTCTTGAGACGACTAATACAAAGGCAATTTCCCTGTTGACAATGGATGTAAAAACACGAAGATTGATCGGTGTCAACTGGGAGACCTTGGAGGAGGCCCTAAAAAGCCTCAATATCTGGGCTAAAGTGTTGGTCACAATAAGTAACGCCATGTTGGACGTCTTGCTGGTAATTGAATATGCACCTAAGTCACTGACTGGGAGCATTCTTACTACGAAGTTAGTGAATATGGAGACAGAATATATGAGAACCAAGAAAACAAAGGTGATCTTGTACGGGGTTCCTTTATATATTTCTGAGGACCTCTTGGGCCATTTCTTTGCGAAGTTTGGTGAGTTTGCGGACGTCTCGTCCATCAGAAGCAAGACTGGCATCGCAACCGGTGATGTAGAAATAATGGTCACATTGACCGGAAAAGTGTTTATCGAGATTCCCAGTGTGCTGATCTGTAGAGGCCGTTAGATTTATGTTGTGGTTGAAGGCCGACGTATTCTCTGCTAGTACTGTGGTGCCGCAAGACACCTTTCGAAATCATGCTCCAGGAAGAACTCGGCACCGTCACCAGCAACACCAGAGGAATCAGCTTATAAACCAGCAGCACCGGAAGCCGTAGTGTTGGAGACCAGACCTCCAGCGGTTCAAATGAATTGGCAAATGTAGTGAGGAGGAGAGAGGGAAGTCAGCTGCTCCTCCTCCCCAGCAGGATGTTCCACCAAAGAAGGATGTTTCTCCCAAAAACCGGCGAAACGGCAGCCGAAAGAGCAGCAAAAGCAACACCAAATGAGCACAGCCTCATCACAAGCAGCAGGAACAGGCTGAACAATAGATCCAGCTACAACAACAGAAGCAGCAGCTCAAGCAACAGCACCAGACGTTGGATCCGTTGGTTCTTCCAGAGTTGGACCTGTACATGGAGGTGAAGGAGATGCCTCCACCTCGATACTCCTCGCTGAAACGGGCGAGAGAGAAAAATGATGAAGAGGAAGAAAAAATGACCAAGAAAGAAAAGAGATCTGGTTAAAGTAGGCGGAGAAGGCCCTGGTAGAAGCTAAGACCCAATACGCTCCTGTTTCGCCAGTAAGAACTTTAAACAAGCAAATGTCAGGTTAGGCAAGTAGCCTCACTTCTTTCCTTTCTAGGCCCCCGTCTTCTCCCTCCCAACAACCCTTCTCAAGAAAAAACCTTTGCCCAAGGGGGGAGAACTTTGCCTGGTAGACAGGCTGGCCCTTGAGAGGAACCTTTCCTCTCAGAGGAAGGTTCTCTTGAGGCCTCTTTTTAAGTGTACCTCCGTTGACGGCAAGTCTACGGAGGATCCCAGAAACATTCTGGACGTCCCTGGAGTGATTACTCTCATTAGAAACACTAGGGTGACCTCAAAATTGGATCACTTGGCGAGGGCAAAAGGTGCGTTCCGGAACATCCGGATGCCCCAGGTCTAGTCTCCGGAACTAAAGAAAATGGCAAAGATGTGTTCAGGGAGAATCCCAGTGTTGCTCCACCCTTTTCTATCTAGGACTTTGAAACTCATCTTCCCGATGGACGTAAGCGGCATTGTCTCTGACGGACGAGTTACGCCCGATATTGGTATCGGTAGGCTGGGACAATTCGTCGGAGTCTTGACTCCCGCAGATTCCCAACCACTCTGTGTTTAAGTGATTAACTGTAAAAAAAGGTCTATCAAGCTAGTCAGCTTGAATGCGAGGCACTTGAGAGATCGGGGTAAGGCTTCCCGCCTTCATCATGATCTCTTGTACCTAGGTGTAGATTTGGCCGCGATTCAGGAGATACACTTTGTAACGTTGATACTCGTGTGTTTGCTAGCGACTTTGTCACCTATTCAGCATACGGGGACTAGCTGGCTAGAGGTGTTTCTTTGTTAGTTAAATGTTCCCTGGATGCGAGGATGGACCTTGTCCATGTTAATGCGAGGGGACGGCTGATTGTGACCGATATTGCCGTGAGCAATAGTTCGTTTCGGATCGTTGCGGTTTATGCGCCTAACGATCAGACGGACCGTGTCGTTATTTGGTGTCGGTTGGAGCCATTCCTGGTGGATTCGTCGCGCTTAGTCTTGGGTTTGTTGATAGATACCGGGTCGATTATCCAGGGCTCTTAAGTGGCCGTTTCTCCGCGTAGCCCGCTACCTGGATAGAATGTTAGTAAGAAGGATCGATCTAGATTTGCTAGATTGTCCCACGTTCCACCGTTTAGACTATTCGGACCATAGACTCATCTGTGCTCTGATGGTGTTAGGTACTAAACCTAGAATGACTGGAAATTGGAAGTTCAATCTGTCTTTACTGGACAGGCGAGACTTCTGGCAACAACGGGAATTAGCGGGAGCGGTTATTGGAAATAAGTGGTGGAAGAGGTTTAAGGATAGTATTCGGTATTTCCCCACATAATATAGCCAACGACTCACACTAGATAAGGTTAACAAAGTGAAGAATCTCAAGGATAGTCTTTCCCAGGTAGAGTCAGAGGAGGGGATTCCCTAGAGATAGGTTTAGCTAGATAAGTTCTGGAGCGTGAGGCTAGCAAGCGCTACCAGGGCCAGGTAGATAGACATAGGTTGAA